AGAAGACTATAGGAGGAGAGAATTAAGAGGAAGAGATCAGAATATCACATGTTGAGTCTGAGCTGTGTATTAAATATTCCAGGAGAGATGTTGGGTAGGAAGTTGGATATTTGAGTCTGCAGTTCAAAGAATAGGTCCAGGCTGAAATACAAATTAGTTTAAGACAATCAGTTAAACTTTTTGGAAAAAAGCGATTATATTTCCTTAATCAATAATGGAAGCAGCAAATATATATTACAGAAAATTATAATACAGGCAAGCAAAAGTGAAAAAAATAGAGATGAGTACTGTTAAAACTTAATTCCTTATTCTTTCTGATCTCTTTCACAGATTTTTTTCCTAACATGAGATCATTCTGTAATTATTGTGTTTTCCCCTCCCCAGTTGATGATTTATTTCCATTTCTGTAAATTTTCATTTTATCTGATCCCAGACCACATTCACATTTCTTCAGTTGATCCAAAAATGTCATTTACAGCTGGCTAGTCCAAACCTATATGCATTTCAGAAACACAAATTAGTTAAATCAGATTGCTCTGTACCTTGAGTCTCTTAATCTCTCCAGTAATAATTTAGGGTGGGAATTTCCTGGTTAGGACTCCAAACTTTTACTGCCAAGGGCCTGGGTTCAGTCCCTGGTGGGGGAACTAAGAGCCTGCAAACCACGTGGCATGGCCAAAAAAAAAAAAGTTTGGGGTGATTTGTTTTGGGAAGTTGAGGTAGAGAGGGGTCAGAATCTGACATGAATTAAATTTAAAATTTTTGACTTTTTCCTGTGGGTGAGTAGAAAACACTGAAGATTATTTAGGATGGGTTATCATAGAAAAGGAAAGTTCTGTGAGAGAGAGAGAGGGGTATTTCTGGGAACTGAGTAATTCATTAAAGGTGGAATTTTGAATTTGAAGGGAGAAGAGATGAGACTGGAAGAGAAGGTAAGATCCAGGATGTAAATGAAGACTAAGGTGTTTGGGCATTTTCTAGTAAGCAGTTGGAAATCATTGACAGATTTGATCTGAGAAATAGTTGGATACTGTTTACATATTAGAAGATGAATTTAGCAACAATGTAGAGAATAAATTTGAGAAGACTAAGTCCAAGGCAGGATAACCAGTTAGGAGGCTATTTCAGTAGTAGTCCGGGTCAAAAGTGATGACCCAGCAAAGAGCAATGGTAGGAAGAGGAGGAGAAGAGGGGATAAATTTGTTTTTTGTTTTTTTTCTTTTTTGCGGTACGTGGGCCTCTCACCACTGTGGCCTCTTCCGCTGCGGAGCACAGGCTCCGGACGCGCAGGCTCAGCGGCCATGGCTCACGGGCCCAGCCGCTCCACGGCATGTGGGATCCTCCCGGACTGGGGCACAAACCCGTGTCCCCTGCTTCGGCAGGCAGACTCTCAACCACTGCGCCACCAGGGAAGCCCGAGGGGATAAATTTGAAAAATATTATTGGAGACAAAATTGGCTGGACTTGGAGATTTATCAAAAGGGGGTGAGGGTCAGGTAGGGAAAAAGAAGAGCCAAAAAGGACTGCTGAAATTCTAGCTAAATACAAGAGCAGTAACAGATGGAAGAGGAGGAAGATTATTAATAAACTATTGAAAAACCAAGTTCAAGGTATCTCTGAGACTTTGAAGTAGATGTGTGCATTGACTGGTAAAAAGGAAAGTCCAAGCATGAAATCTATGGATATGGGAGTCATTGGTACTTAGGTGGTAGTAGTTAAATGTGGATAATTATGCTGATAGCATTCCATTTTCTGTTGGCTAAGCACAGTCCTAAATGCTTTACATACATTGTTTTATTTAATTCTTATAACAACCCATGAGTTTCATTTTGCAAAGAAAAAAAAAAGTAACATATAGAAGTTAGGTAATGTATAAGACCCTAAAGCTAATAAGTGATAAAGCCAGGAATAGAACAGACTATCTGATTTTGAACCTGAAATCTTACAACTCTATGCTACGGGTGAATCGAGAAGAGTGCTCAGGAGAGAACCCTGGGGAGCATCAACATTTAAAGGAGGATGGGGACTTCACTGGTGGCGCGGTGGATAAGACTCCACACTCCCAGTGCAGGGGGCCTGGGTTTGATCCTTGGTCAGGGAACTAGATCCCACACGCATGCTGCAACTGAGAGTAGCATGCCACAACTAAGCCCGTGTGCCGCAACTAAGAAACCTGCATGCCACAACTAAGGAGCCTGCGACCTGCAAATAAATAAATAAATATTTTTTAAAAAGAAATAAATAAAGGAGGATGATCACAAGCAGAGCTGCCTACCTATCATGTCCACCTGTGTATATATATGGAGGAAGAGCTAGAAGACGTCAGAGGAGAATTAAGAGGATGATTATAACAGAAACAAAAAGGGATTACTATAGCACATTATTCTGTGTGCCAAAGCCTGGTGGAAATGATAGTTCTTTGTAGAAATAGCATTTAAAAAAATCTCCTTTTGGGGCTTCCCTAGTGGTGCAGTGGTTAAGAATCCGCTTGCCAATGTAGGGGACACATGTTCGAGCCCTGGTCCGGGAAGGTGCCGCGGAGCAACTAAGCCCGTGTTCCACTAACTACTGAGCCTGTGCTCTAGAGCCTGCAGGCCACAACTACTGAGCCCATACTCCTAGAGCCCGTGCTTCCCAACAAGAGAAGCCACTGCAATGAGAAGCCTGCTCACCACAACAAAGAGTAGCCCCCGCTCGCTGCAACTAGAGAAAGCCGGCACACAACAACAAGACCCAACACAACCAAAAGTAAATAGATAAAATAAATATATTAAAGAAAAATCTCCTTTGGGTTTAATAAGTTGGAGTTTATTGGTAATATTGGTAATTGCTGTTTGAATGAAGTGATGGCAACATAAATGAGATAGCATAATTTATATAAGGCTCCTCACATGGTAGATTGCATTTTTTTAATAAATTTATTTTATTATTTTATTTTATTTTATTTTTTGGCTGTGTTGGGTCTTCATTGCTGCGTGTGGGCTTTTGTTTGGTTGCAGCGAGCAGGGGCCACTCCCCGCTGCAGTGCACGGGCCTCTCACTGCAGTGGCCTCTGGTTGCGCAGCATGGGCTCCAGGGCGCCGGCTTCAGTAGCCGTGGCGCACGGGCTTAGTTGCTCTACGACATGCGGGACCCCCCCAGACCAGGGCCCAAACCGGCATACCCCGCATTGGTAGGCGGACCCCCAACCACTGCGCCACCAGGGAAGCCCGCATATTTTTTAAGTACAAAAAAAGGTAGCTCCTATAATTATGGAGTTACTAGAAATTAGAGACAGTGAGTATATAACACTCTTT